GAGAGAGAGAGAGAGAGAGAGAGAGAGAGAGAGAGAGAGAGAGAGAGAGAGAGAGAGAGAGAGAGAGAGCAGGAGAGTGTGAGGTATTTCAATTGTGTGCTGTCTGACAGAACAGAGAGAGAAAATGGTGGACAATTTGGACTGAAGCCGCATACTTATGCGTGAAAGTCCACAAACAGAGTCAAATGCATTGAAACAGTGGGTTCAAACTTCAAAATTACAGGGAAGGCAAATGATGAGAGCTACAGCAAATTGAACGCCACAAATTGTCCTTACAGTGTTGTTAAGTTCAAACAGTTGCCAATCTCCGGAGGCAGCGTGCCGTTCATGTTTTGGTTGTGACTCAAGTCCAAGTACTGTACACTTGTCAAGTTACCAATCTCAGGGGGTATAGCACCGCTCAATAGGCAGTTATTGATAGTCCTGCAGCAATGCATCACACGAGGATTGCACAAAGCTATGAGCCCAAAGACAAAAATAGACTCACACATCGACAGACTTTGCCATTCAATACCCACTCTGATGACTCCATGCACGGATCCCATACGGGCCCTCCAGGCCCGACATTAGACCAGGTTGGGGCCCTGGACAGCACTCACCACAATTTAGGGAGGTTCCAGGACCGCATCCATCATTTTGGCCTGATGCAGGTCTAGGTAAGTGGTATTGGGCGCTGTAGGGTGTTTTTGAGTGTTCATTTATTCTTCTGAGGTCTTATTTAGAAGTCGGACTATTTTGTCTGCTTTTGTCCGGTATGTGATGTGTCGTTTGGATTTTTGTCTTGTCCAAACAGGCACTTTGGCCTGTGTGGACTGCCTGCGCCAGTTTCAGGGCCAGCTGGATTTTGTCTGCTGAAGGACTGGGCCAGGTTTGTCCTTTAATACCTGGCCCAGCCCTTGTCCTTTTCAGGATACCTCTGCTGCATCAGCTGAGGAGCTGGGACGCCCGATTGGGACCCAGGCAGGCCATTTTGAGCCCAGCCGCACAGTACCAGGACTTCAGCCTGTGTCGTACACCATCAATAGGACATCCAATCGGATGGCCTAGGACACAGGCCAAGTCCAGTTCCAAGGAGGCCCTGCGTATATAGTCGGGCCAGGCTCAGTCTTCCCTGCGGCAGTGTTGAGGTTGCACATCAGCATGATGCTGTGCTAGCAGCAGTAGAGGAGCAGCATAGAGATTAGCACTAGAGGTATATGAGTAGCAGCAAAGCAGAGTAGGGGTCTTCACCACGAGCAAAGTGTTGCAGCACTCAGCTGGGCACACCATAGCTTGGGTCTTCTACACCGGCAATAGCCGGCCTTCCACCTGCAGCACAGGACAGCTCAAGACTTCAGCTTTCGCTGGTCAGTATCTGGTCGCGCAGGTGCACGCACGCGCGCGCACGAGAGCGAGAGCGAGAGCGAGAGAGAGAGAGAGAGAGAGAGAGAGAGAGAGAGAGAGAGATTAGAGACTTGGTTACTATAATGGGAGTTGTCTACCAGACTTGGAATTGACATTTCAGACTGGGACAATTATGGGACTTTGGGCAAGAGTCTATTATCATTCGGCTGATACTCTCTTCTCCTTCCTCTTCTTCTTTGTCTTTTCTTCTCTCACATTTGTCTCATTCTCCGCATCCATCATTTGTGGTTTTCCTCCCCATGCAATTGAGTCAAGGAGGGATCTTTCTTCCATGTATGTCCCTCCTTGCCTGTTTCGTGAGTGATAATGAATGCATGCTCTTAGTCCAGAGTCTGACGAGTTAAAGAAGTTTATTTTCACTCTTCTGCCTGCTTGCTTCTTTCTCCGCACTCAATGATTCCTTGCTTCTGCACCATGATGATAGGCATCCGACAGTTTTGGTATCAGGGCAGACCAAGTGGAGTAACTTGCTGACCTGCCCACTGAAAGATACTACTTTCATTCGTAACCAGATACCGGTAGATTGATTGATTGATTGATTGCTCTATGGATTAATTAATTAATTATGCAAGGAAAAAGCAATTAGAACAGCAATAAACTACTGTCGTCTTGAACACCCATCCAACTTCCTGGCTCCTACAAGTCTAGCCTATCTACATGGCAGCAACCGGTCCACATGTCAATCACTCGATGCCGCTTGAAGACCATGGTCAAGCAGCATGTCTTCGTCAGCACCAGGTGTGTGCCCCGTTCCCACTGTCTTCCTTCTCTCTTCCCGTGCCAAACCACTGCGATTCCCGCCGGCTGGCTATGGTGCGCACAGTCCGGCTATGGCTGGCGCCCACCCTCGTCCTTCTTGCTGCTACCGAAGCAGCTTCCTCATCGGGCGCTGAGTGTGCTGACTATCCTGCAGCGTGGCCTCATCAGCCTGCTAGCCTGAATCCCCCGACTCTTTTACTGCCCTTTCCTTTATGCCGCCTGAACGGACCGCACCCAGCCTCATGCACAGTCCAGTAGTCAAAGTCCAGAGCCTTCCAGAAGGGAGGCCCATGTCCATGAGTCAGGGCCTTCCGGAAGGAGGCCCACCCCCATGCCTCAGGGCCTACCAGTTTCCCGGCCGTTATGCGTGAGGCCCGATCGAAGGCTGTGTGGCCTATTTCAGGGCAGTTGAGGGCCTATTTCCTCGCACTCCCTTCACCCTCAAGTTGGATAGTCCTCTGAGAACCCTTCAATCTTGTAGTTGCTTCCCTTTCAGAGCTCTTTTGTACTTCAAGACGATCTGCAGTGCAGTCTTCATCAGTTCATCATACACCACCGATCCTCCTTTGGATCTAGGGGTGACTGAATTCCACTCGATACTGCATTTGCGGTTTCAGTGGTCTTCGCTGTTCAGGTGGCTTCTGCAACGACATCATCTTGTGCTAAACAATTCGATTGGTGTCCATATATCCATTCATGGTTGGGGGCAGCATTGATCGCCTTGAGTGAAGCTGCTTAGTTTGGGACAAAGGTAAGAGTTTGGAGGCATGAAAACAGGGAATGTGAGCAAATGAGGAACAAGAATCACGTATGATGGGCCATCAGGATCTGATCCTACTATATCTAAGATAGGCCATGGCCAAAGTACTGTAGCATCAATTTCCGCGAGATGTTTTACTCTTGCCTGAACTCAGAAGACCTAATCCAAGCTCTATCCCCGGTCTGAGAAGTTGACTGTCGGCGGCGGTTGTTCTCAGATGCTATCAAGCACCTTGAGCTCTCTGGATCTGTTCTACAGTTTCCTGCAGCAACGACTCGTAGTGTATTCTGTACTGAATGCTACCTAGTGCCATTTAAGACTTACGACACAGGAAACAAAATGTCCACCAGTGTTCTAGGTTCACATCCTAAATATAGCTGATTACGTGTTTGGCCATTGGTAGAATGCACTGTGTTATTATATAGGCTAGCTGCCAGTCGTAACTTGTCATCCCAATCAATCTGATTGCGCTAGGTGTTGTACCGCCTGGTTCATCTGTTCAGCCTGTCCATTTGGTTCTGGATGGTTCCTAGACTTCATCTGCAATTCATATCTCAATTGTTGGGCTACCTTCTGTCATAGTTCACCGAGAAATTGCACATCTCTGTAACTCACTACAGATTTTGGCAGTCCAAAGTCCTTCAGCCAGTCACTCACTATAGATTTAGAAACGATGGGCTCAGCCCTAGATGTTGCAGGCAATGTCTTTTACCTGCATCTGGTGATACCATACTTCATGTAGATCTTACTGAAGTACTGGTATCCCTAAACCCTATCCAAGAGGTCATCAATGCGGAGTAGGGGCTCTACATTTCGCACTGCGATGGCAAGCCCCTGTCGTCAGTGTACCCCCTCCTTTGGCATGCACGGAGCTGGCCCACCATAACGTGAAGTACTTGGCCTGATCCAGCCCTTGTCAGTCAGTTCCTTGACCTGCTTGAGAAGCTCATCCAACTCCGCTGGAGACAACCTTTAGATCCTACCTTTGGGAATTTTACTCCTTGCGACGATCTCTATGGCATGGACAAACTCTCTCATGACAACTCAATCTCTGTCTGTTGGGGTCTGTATGGCCCACCTGCGAGGACTGAGCCCTCACGGGGCCCTTACAGACATGCAAGTGCTCTGGGCTGTGGCCCCCAGCAAGCATTGTGCCCGCCCTAAGCGAAGGGTCACGTGAGGCCGACTTTGCACATTTTCCATATGTGGGGTATCAGACAGTTGCAGCACACCAGTTGGTTACCGAGCAACGTGAGCCTTCAGAAGCTCCTTCCAGATGCAAGAGCTGCGCTGTACAGTTTAGCCCAGGGCTCAGGCCGTTGCGCCCTGGGCACAGGCTGTGTGAGGCTGACACATCATGGACTGGTTGTGGGCCAATGATAATGCAGTATTGTCATCACACATGCACCACGAGCCAATCAGAATGCGGCAAACACTTGGAGCCTGGAGGGCTCCCTGGATGCTCCCAACTGTGAAGGGCCCAGGCCCGTAACATGAAAGGTGGGCCTGAGCGCAGACACTGGGGCCCGACTAGAAGCTCCTGGAAACTCGTCCAGCCAGGCCCGTGCAGCCAAACACAGGGCCACACTTTCCATAAAGGATAGTGCCCTTCCCAGGCAGCGGCATTCTGGCCTGTGCAGGCAAGGTGGCCACGCTGATGCATCGTCGGACAAGCAGCTGCTCTAGCGCTGCTGGCCAGGGCGCACGTGAGCGCAAGAGGTGAGAGGGCGCTGCAGTGGCAGCGGGCGCACAAGGTGGCCATAGTCGGGCTGAGTGTGCGGGTAGCAGGTGATGGCGATGGTGGTCTTCGGGTAGGAGGCACATGAGGTGGGGGAGATGGGGTGTGATGAAGAGAGGAGAGACGTACCTGGTGCATGCAGACGGTCGCATTGGTTATGACGTCACATACATGGGTCTTCAACTTCGATGTGATATGGTTGCATGAACGTAGGAGGCATAGATAGGTTGAGTAGTGCAGGCTGGGCACTTGGCGCCAAACAATAGGAGTGACATTGGATACTGTGTTGGTGTGACCAAAGAGCGTCAACATTGACATACGAGTTCATTGTATTACTCTTATTTGGATGGTATCTTGGTGCATTCTGCTCTGTGCTTGGTACATGACTATCTCGGCTACTTCGTGGTTTTGCAATCTTGATTTTTGTATATCGCTCTCGCTCATATTCTTTGGGCAACCCTTTGAAGAAACAAAAATGAGGTGCATACCCTCCTCCTACTGCTGCTTGCAGTAGTCATCGAACACACTACTGTTTCAACCCGAAAAAAAACTCATGTACGTTCTATTCAACTTTCCTCGAGGAAACGGTGTCGAGCGCATTGGTCTCACAAGGGGGACCCTCCCAACCACGAGGCGATCAAATATACTGAGCGTATACACAAAATATAAATATAACGAGGTTATAAAGCACGAGGCGATCACTCTCACAATCACAATGTGATTTCCTTCAAAATATACACATGATCACAGGCAAAGTCAAAT